ATTTCTGGCCCTGTAGTCTCGATATGCGCCTGTCGGTTCGCCACGTTGTCGAACTGATTTGTCCATACTGCGTTTTCCAGCCTCTCTGCATGTCGCTTTGCTTGGTGGTTGTAGTTTTCGGGGTTCTCGAATGCGACAGCGGGGACGGGGTATACCTCTGCGCCCAGCAGTCTCAGCAGATCAATCTTGCCCTGCGACTGTGTGTTGGGCATGTAGATGACGAGTTTGTAGCCCTTTGAGCGGCAGACGTGCGCAAGACCGATACCAGTGTTGCCGGCTGTGCCTTCAATGACGGTACCGCCGGGCTTCAAGAGACCTTGGCGTTCAGCATTCTCGACGACGAAGAGCGCAGCGCGGTCCTTGACTGAGCCGCCTGGGTTCTGGAACTCTGCCTTTCCAAGAATGTTGCAGCCGGTTTCTTCAGAGAGCCTCTTGAGACGGATAAGAGGTGTCTTGCCAATTGCTGAGAATACATGTCAATATGTCTTCGCTCTTGAGTTTTGGAAGGAAATATGTTACCATCAAGGAAACCCCGCTGACCAATGCCCTGAGCCTTTGAGATATTGAGGGCAGTCTGCTGGGCTTCTGCTGAGCCAATGATCTCAGCGCCGCGACGTGCAGAGGTCGCGAAGCCTCGCGCAGCTGTCCGGAACATTTTTGCAATTGAAGAGCTGCCTCACAAAGCCGCGGGCAAAGGTCAAGTTCAAGTACAAGATGATGCCATCGGCTGGTCGGCGAATCAACGCGCTCTCGCCCGATGTCGCAAGCAGTCAAAGGTGGACCCTGCACGCGGGACCCCTGCTCCCACGAGCCGTTGCCGCGCGGGGGTGTGCGTAAACAACAACACCAACGACAATTGATGCCAATGACCGTGCCACAGTAGACGACCACACATACTGCTGACCATACACCAACTATGCCCGGACGCCCTTCAACCCGCGCGCCGCGTGGGTCGACCACAACCACTGCCCGCAAAGCCAGTGGCGGTACAACAAGGGCAACACGCGGATCCTCTGCAAGGCAATCCGCAAACGCAGTTGATATCCCCGATGAGGGCCCCGTCACAACTCTCCGCACCCAAATTGCCCAAGTGTTCAGCGACGCACAAAAGACGACGGCTACACAAAGGAAGTTGGTGGTCAACTTGAGGAAGATCCAGGAAGCATGCTGTTTCGAGCCGCCAGACACAGGCAAGAAGGGCGGAAAGAAGGGCCAGGAGGAACAAGAAGATTTTGACGAAGAGGAGTTCAATGCCGAAATCGTGAGATGTCTGCTTAGAATCATGTCCGTCAAGAAGAGCGAGCCAGTGGGTGACAGGGTGATTCGCTTTTTGGGGATCTTCTTGAAGCATGCGTCAGACAAAGGTTTGTCATGCCCTGCCAGTCAGAAAAAGAAAGTACTGATCAAAGCCAGACCAGCAGATATTCGCCGCAGAGTCCGAGGAAGATGCGACTGCCTTTCACGAAACGCCCACCAGCAGACTTACATCCCACATCCTTACTACAATCCTAGGGCTTCTCACAGCCAAAGACAAGACCGTCCGGTTCCGAGCCACACAGACAGTTGCGCATATAGTGAACAGCCTCACTACCATTGATGACGATATTTTCAACCTGATAAGATTGGGTTTCTTAAAGCGTCTCCGAGACAAAGAACCATCGGTGCGCGTTCAGGCGATTCTCGGACTGGGTCGCCTTGCCGGGAATGATGACGAGGAGCAAGATGAAGAAGACAGTGACGACGAAGCAGGAGGCATCCTAGACAAGCTTCTGGACATTATGATTAACGACCCGAGTGCCGAAGTGCGACGAGCTGTGCTGCTGAACCTACCACTTTGGCCATCGACCCTACGATATATCCTAGAGCGGGCTCGTGATATGGATGCGACCACTCGAAGGCTGGTTTACGGCAAGATTCTGCCAGCTTTGGGCGATTTCCGACACATGTCGCTTGTGGAAAGAGAGAAGCTCATCCGATGGGGTCTTCGCGATCGAGACGACATTGTCCGCAAGGCTGCAGCAACCCTGTTCCGTGAGCGCTGGCTCGAAGACTGTGCTTCATCCCGCGACACCCGGACTGAAGAGGAGAAGAAGCCTGGTGATGTTGCACCACCTAGCTTGGAAGCGTTGTGCGAGCTATTAGAACGCATTGATGTTACACGGTCCGGTGAGGAGGACGGCATGGCTCATGAAGCTATGCGCCAGTTCTGGGATGGCCGACCGGATTACCGTAGAGACATCACATTTGACCACGAGTTCTGGAACAACCTAGATGCTCAGACGGCTTTTATTGCTCGCACGCTCAACGATTACAGCCAGAGCACCGACGATGACAGAATCCAGAGTATGATTGAGGACAAGATGCCTGAAGTCACCATGTTTGCTTTTGTTCTGCAGCGAGAGCTCAATTCGCTTATGGAGCTAGTCGACAAAGTGTCAATGATGGAAGAGACTGATCCAGAGATTGAGGAGGCACAGGAAGATGTTGAGGAACAGGATTTCGTTGTTCAGCAGCTCCTTCACATTGCTCATACTCTCGACTACACGGATGAGATGGGACGCAGGCAGATGTACAACATCATGCGTGAAGCAATTTCCAAGGCTCAATTGCCTGAAGAGTGCACAAAGCTCTCCATCGAGGTTTTGCGCAAGGTTTGTGGTAGTCGAGGCGAGTCAGACTTTTGTGCTCTCATCGTCGAGGCTATTGCCGATGTTCGAGATTCTCTCTTGGATGCCGACGATGCTACCGTCACTGGCGGAGATGCTGAAGAAAGCTTTCACTCTGCACAGTCAGACGTGGACATGGATGCTCCTTTGATCAAGGCCAAGACTGCCAAAGCTGCAGAAAATCTCACTGAGGAAGAGAAGGAAGAGCGACAGATCCGAGAGGTCATGGTATACTCCAAGTGCTTGCACATTGCGCAGTGTACGCTCCAGAATGTGGAAGGTGATTTAGAATCGGATACATCGCTCACAAATATCCTCAACACTCTTATTATCCCGGCAGTACAAGCTCACCAGGCGATGATCCGAGAAAGGGGTGTCATTTGCTTGGGTCTCGCTGCCCTTCTCAGTAAAGTAAGTTTACCACTCATCATCTACTTAGGAATATGCTAATAACGACTAGGATCTCGCGGGTAATAACCTCGACCTCTTTTTCCACTGTTTCGCAAAGGGGCATGATGCTCTAAAAGAGATTGTCATTCAAGTTCTCACAGATGTAATCATCACTCACCCACAGCTTCTTACGCCCACCATTCCAGACCCAGACGCAGAGACTGAGGACGCAGAGCCCATTACCAACCCACGCATCCGCCCTATCACCAAGATTCTTCTCAAGGCCTTTACTTCCGATAACAAGCGCATTAGTCTTATCTCATGTACCGCTGCTTCGAAGCTATTGCTCCTCGGCATCCTGCCACCTCAGCCTACAGCTGAGATTCTAAAGGCCTTCACATTGACATACTTTGATCCCGAGACAGCAATGAACCCGGCACTACGACAAGCACTCAGCTACTTCCTCCCTGTCTTCTGCCACAGCAAGCTAAAGAACGCAAAGCTCATGGGCGAGATCGCCGTCCCCATCATCTCCAAGCTCCTCATCATGCGCGATGAGAACGTCGAAGAGGACGACATAGACGAGATGGTGGGCTGGCCCATCATCACCGCCCACCTTTCCGAATGGACCGACGGCCGTAAGGTAGTCGGTGCCACCGAACTCGGTCTCGACGGCAAGACAAGCACAACAGCCGAAGCCGAGGAACCCCACGTTCAACTCGCAATTGAGATTCTCGAGCGCGCACTCACGAGCACGTGTTCGAAAGATGAGCGCAAACCTCTACTTTCGCTGCTGAGCAAACTCTTCATCGCTCCCTCGGGCCCGAGCTACAAGAGCAGCACCGACCAAAACGGTGAAGATGAAGAAGAAGAAGAGCCTCTGCATACCCTTCACAGCCTGGTTTCTGAAGCTGTGGAAGCCAAGATTGGGACGGACGCCACGCAGCGCAATGCACTTGCGAAACTGGAAGCTACTCTGACAAAGCGATTGGGCGAAGTAGGTAATGCGACACAAGCTCCCGACGAAGACGCAGATGACCAGACAGCTGCTCCTGACACTACTGTTGCGCCTGATGAGACGGAGACGACCGAAGCGTCTGAGACTCAGGTGCCATCTAAGAAACCTTCCAAGATTAAAGAAGAAGACGATGAGGAAGAGGAAGAGGATGAAGATACAATGTTAGCTGGCATGCAAGGAGAGGGTACACGCATGCCTCTTGAAGCTGACGATGACGATGATGAGGATGAAGAGGAAGAGCAGTCGATGGCTGAACATAGCACGTTGATTGTGGGTAGGGATGACAGGCGAAGGACTATGGTTACTGAGGAGGATATTATGGAGAGTTTGTTGCAGAGTGAGATGGAAGATTCTGCTTAGGTGTTCTTTTTCTTGAGAACTTTTGGGCTAGGTGTGTTGTAGATGGCGTTTTTTGGGGAGGGGTCCAGGGGAATGAAGTGGGATAGGGAGATATGATTTTATGTATTACGCGTTTATGATATCCTGTTGCTGTCTGTACTTTTTACATGTCATTGTACGATATCATTTTCTCCGTCCTACGCATGATACCTGCATATTGCATGACGTGAACGATTCAACAGAACTGTTATCCTTTGAGAACTGCTTTTATTGTATTTTTGGCTGAAAAATTTTGGGTATATAACCAGCCTGCTGCTAACCTATGCGGAACAGCAAGCAATCTAAAAACAAACGCTAAATGCAACAAAAAAAAACCACTATCTAAGTTCTTGCTCGCCTGACATCTGTCGTGAATCCGTATGAACCGTGTACAAAAAAAGTGTACACTCATTAGCATCTCTCGAGAAATAAAAGGAGGAATTGCCTTCCTTCTTTGTCACAAACATGGGGAAAATCCCCCACAATCTCCTTTGCGTAAAATCATCGTCGTAGTTGCTCGAAAAAAAAACAGAAAGCGTCTTCGAAAATCATGACCGGAGTGGCATGTCGACCTCGACATTGCCAAAAACATCTCTGTACCACCCCCGCAACTTCCTACATTTTTCACTGCCCGCATCCTCTCTACACCCTTCTTCGACAATAGCATCCCACATGCGCTGCTCAACATCATATCCGAGCTGCTTCTGCATATCTTCTTTCTTGCCCCACAGCCTATGCGAGCGGCCCTCCATGTCAAACGGGAGCTTATCATTCAGAACCTGGGCTGGGTCGAGCTTAAGATTGTTCTGGTGAATAAAAATGGGGATAGGTTTGCTTGGCGCTATACGCGGCTTATTCCGCTGAGATTGGGTGACGAGATCCTTGTCTTGCCAGAATGCTTCCTCGTGGATGTGGTTGCGCATCGGGGGCAGGTACTGGTAGTCGAGACTGGGGTCTGCCTGGCCGATTGCCGTGCCTTTATATGTGCCGTTGAGGAAGCGGCCGAGGGCCATCGGGGCAGTGCGGACTTGGTAGAAAGGAAGGCCGACGGCGAGGGCGGCTTGCGTAAAGGTTTCTTTGTCACCGGCGCCGGGGGCGCCTTGGCTGAGGAGAACGTAGTAGAAGTCTGGGCCGTAGTAGTTGTAGTAGACCATCATGAGGAGGGTTTCACGGTGTAGGTCTTTGTTCATGAGGAGCTGGCCGCTTTCGGTGGAGAGGCGCGATTGCGAGAGGACTTCGGGGATGGCGGCGATGTGATAGAAATGCGCCGATATGGTTTGCGCCCAAAAGTCTGGCCAGGTTACCAGGCCATGGGTTGTATATGGGGCAACGGAGAATAAACTTTTCGGGTCTTGCGAGGGGAAGGCATCGCTGTCGAGGAACAGAACGTGCTGGAAGGACGAGAATAGGATCGCAAATGCTTTGTACTGGTAGTGACTGGGTGGTTTGGCATTGGCGGCCGTCTCGTAAATGTTGGATAAGACAACGCAACGGGCGTTGAGAGAAGGTAGAACGGTCTCGCACACTGTTGCGTCGTACTTGCTCCAGTCATCGATGAAGACTTCCATGGGCAAATCACATCCCGTTTTGCGTAGCAAGCGCAGTGAGACCAAAAAGATAGGCATGTACATGGCGTTAGCGGTAGTAACGATGCCTGTAGTACCCTGTGCAAAGGGGACTCTGGACGCCAGCTCTTTTGCAGAACTGCGCATGGTATAGTGCGCTCTGAACAAGGCCAACTCCTCATTCTTTGTGAAGTTGACCAGCCGATCAGGGTGTGTCCTGTGAGGTTCGAGCGGCTTGAATTTGACAACGTCGTCGAATCCCTCATCGTCGAGCTGCAAAGGCTCACATTGTGGTTGGGCGTCAACCAGAGCAGTGGCGAGGTCTGACCAAAATTCTCGAACAGACCTATCAAAGGTTGAACTGGCGGCAGTGAGGTTTTTGCCCGTCAAGATGGGGATGTGGATGGCAGCCGAGCCATGGTATTGCTGGGGAAAGAAGAAGAAGACTCCGCATATGAAGAAGAACAGAGGGAGGGCAAGCAGTCGCGGTAACGAGTGGGAGGTAGTGACGAGCATGGCCGGGGTGGGCCCGCACTTGAGAGCGAGTAATTGTCACAGAGGCAAAAGGAAACGGGGTATCTTTGGAGAGAGAGAGGGAGAAAAGTGGGAAAGGCAGAGAGAGATAAGTCAAAAGGCTAGCCACAGATGAGAGGTGAGAGTGAAAGGGCGAATTGCATGCAAGTACACTCCTGTGGGCGCCTAGAGATAACTGGAAATGATGTGACATGGGTGCCACAGTGTCATCCCAAGGTGACAGAGCATGCAATTGCAATACGAGCGGATGCTACAAACGGGGTACTCCGCCGCGTTTATGGAGAGGCCGACTCATGGCGCGGGTCCAGGGCACATGCGTAGTTTGATACTGTCTGGTGGTATAGGGCTAATGCTAAGCCTCAACAGGACATTACGTGAGAACAGACAGCGTGATACTTGACAAGATCGTGGATACAGATCTTGGGTGAGGTTGTGACAACCTCATGGTATATGGGCGGACCGAGCGAGATGGAGTGGTGAATTGCATCCGGCGTATCCTAGGCCGTACCTAAGCTCGGCATAGCGCAGAAAAGCTGGACCAACGGGCGAGCTGAGTAAAAGCGACTAACGAGCAACCAGCTCATTAGCCGTGCCAAATTAGACGTTGGAGGATTCAAAATTAGAGACGCTAACGCCACGGATAAGCTGACTGATAACGGCATGGCAAGGGGAGACTGGCCGACGTCTGACAGCGTGGGTCGTTGGTAGGGTCCCCCCTGCTCTCAGAGACAACGGCTGTGCATGTAACATATCTGCGCATGAGGCTCTGGGCGATCTTAACAAACTACATTGCTTCCGTCGTATGTTTCCTAGCCCTGTTCGCATTGCAGTCAGTACATACATGTACGTACGCCTGTGGAACCGCCGACTTCAACAATAACACAATTTACGTCTAACATACGCGACCCAGCGCAACGCGTCGCAAAGACCTCTTTTTTTTGTTTCCCAGCCTCCAGCCGTCCGTACTGCGCATGCACGCACTATTGGAAAATCGCGCAACCGTATATACGGGGTGGCGTGGGACACCCTAGATGGACACCCTAGATGCCATCCACCTACTTCGGAAATTGAGCCACGCAGACGCCACAAACATCTCATTAATGCCCACGTCAACACGGTCGAGTCTCTTGTAAGTATCCATATCTTACTTTCGTGTGATATTACATAAATATCAAGTCCAGAACAAGGGAGGCGGCACGTCATCGTAACAGTGTGCGCTCAACAAAACTCCCATTTAGCACGTTACCAAAAAAATTCGGTTCAGACGAAGAAAACAAAATTAACAACGAGAAGAAAAGCAGATGACCCGAACATCGTCGTGATGCCGCGCAGATTTCTACGCTTGATTACTCTAATCATAGACAAGAACATAACTTTAGCCTGCTTGTAGCGCGGGCCAGAAGAGCCTGGCTAAGCTCCACACCATCATCCGTACCTTGCATGATCAACAAAAATCCAACCAACTACAAGATTCCCGATTTTGCTTCCTCTTCTCCCACTTACCATACATCCCGTTTTACTTACAAACAGACAAACAACCCAAAAAACAGACCTCTCTGACAAATCCATAAAATTCCATAGTTATTCATCTTACTAAGGAAGTAGATCATAATCCACCGGCCCGAAAACAAACAAACAAAAGCCGGCCCTTATATCGTAAACTATGCACATAAGCACAAACCCCCATAGTCCACCACATTAGGACCTCCTATGCCCAGCCCCAGCCCAGAAACCCTCCCTGACATGGAGGAGGAAGGTCCAAGTCCGCCAAGCCTCATGTCCCAAACCCAATCTTGACTACTTTGCTTGGTTATTGATCAAAAATCCTGCCAAAAAAATCCCCCCCCCCCATGTCCCACCCCATCCTTTGTAATTACACGTACTCAGATTGGACATGTTTTTTTTTTGAGAGAGAGAGAGAGAAAAGGAGGTCGAATAGGAAACATCGGATATCCCTTCCCCCTTGTTGAGTGTGAGATGTAATCCGAAGGTACCTAATACGGTACCCGAAACTAAGATAGGGAGCGAGGGAGGGAAGGGTAGGATAGGGGCATTGATAATGCGTAGAAAATCCATCCCCTTGGCTTAGTTTGCACATACCTGTTGAGAGGGGAAAAAAGCCCGAGATGATACTTCACCGTTGAGCGCATTGCTACTACGGATATTTCTCTGACCGGGAATGCGTACTTTTGTCCTTTCTGATGTACATATGTACGCCAACCCCCCCGGTGGCGTCTTGTCTTCTCCACACACACATTCATCACGACGCGGGTTACGAGCAACAAAGCGATATATGTTTTTTTTTACCTGAAGATTGATTCACTTGCTACGTACGAGGAGAAGCTAAAAAAAAGACAAACGCAGATTATTAGTACAGATACTGGTGGAAAATATTCCGGAGAAAAAAAGAACAGGAAAGAAACCCGCGCGAAAAAAAAGAAACACACACGATTTACCTCAAGAGCCGCCCTTACTTCACAAGCACCTTGATTGCCAAGGCAATGTGTTGTAATTCAATTTGTAGCATGCACAAGAAAAAAACAAGAGAGAAAAAGATCAAGAAAAGAGAAGAAAATGAACACCAGCTCGAGGCCCAGATGCTGTACGAAGAAATCGTCTTGCCAGATCCAAGAAGCTCCTGCAAGCCCGCATTCGCTACCGTCCAATTTGTACTTTTTTTATCCACCCACCCAGCTTTTGCAAAAGGAATTCAAGTCGATCCCCAAACACCCCCGCCATCCCAGGTATCGAACTCCATCAAATGAGGATTTTTCCGTCTATACGCATCCGTGCCGTAGGTAGCCTGCAAATGCCACGAATCTCTTAAATCGACCGATGCTGTAAAACTCCACCCATAGCCAATCTTGCCCACGCCAGCCTACCCGAAAAAACCGTCCCATATCAAATTGCACCGCAAGATACGCGCTCCAGACGATCGATACCTATGTACGAGTGAACTTACGCCGGCGACTTGTTGGCGGGGTTAGTGACGTTGCGCCGATCATCGTTCATGGAAAGAGAGCCAAAGCCGGTTGAAAGAAAGGCAAAGGGGTCGTTGCGACCATCGCCGCCGTTAGGAGCACCCTGAGCGGGGTAGGGGTCCGCCGAGGAAAAAGCAGCTTCAGCGGCGCGGCTGTCGAAGGGAGTCGAGTGCATGCCACCGTTGGGCACATACTGACCGCCCATGGAAGGGTAAGGGCTAGCCGCACCCATACCAGAGGGCAGAGCATACGAGCTAGGAGGGCCGCCATACTGTTGAGCTGGGAAGCCTCCACCACCGTAGCCAGCAGGGCCGTAGGGACCGGCACCAGGACCAGCACCCATGGAAGGAGGTCCCATGCCGAAACCAGAGGGTGTATCCATTGGCGACGGGAATGCCGAGTCAGCAACGACAGCAGCGCCGGCACGGCTAGCTCCGCAGCGGAGGCAAGCAGTGTTCTTTGCAAAGTTGTGGTATCCACAGCCATTCTCACCACACTTCCAGTCTCCAGCACGAAAGGGAACGACACCAGTACCTCCACGCATGTGTCCACCACCCATTCCGTGACCGTGGCCGTGGCCCATGTGGTGCTGAGGAGGGCCCATCATACCTGGGTGACCTCCGTATCCGTAACCGCCGTAGGCCATGGGATCACCGCCTGGCGGGCCCTGTTGCATGGCAGGGAACGAGCATCGGAAACAAGCGGTACGGCGCTGGAAGTTGGAGAAGCCACAAGAAGGACAGTTCCAGTCACCAGGGCGAGGGCGGTTCTTGCTAGGGGGAAATGGTGTGATAATATCAGAGGCACGGTCGAGAACGCGAGTGGACGAAGGCGAGACTTCAATGGCCTTTTCGTTGAGAGCGCGGCCGTTCATGCAGAGACTCTCAGCAGCCTAGGAAAGAAGAATCAAAGTTAGCATATTACGTGTCCAACATGATTGATACAATACATACCTCCTCGTGGGAAGAGAAGATGGCGAAGCCGGTACCGGTGGGCTTGTGCTGGTCTGGGGTACGGAGGGTCCAGAAAGCAATAGGACGACCGCCAAACTGGGTAAACCAGCTCTCAAGCTCTGACTGAGTAGTGTCATGAGGAAGGCCGCTCATGTGAAGAACCTTGCTGCGCTCGGACAAAAAGGCGCGCACGTCAGCCCTGGCGTCCATGGGTTTGGTAAGTACGTCGGGGTGGTCTTGAGGTGGCTGCGACTTGCGGATCAGGCCACGGAGAACTCGAGCGAGTGTGACCGCCTCCTCCATTGCCCGCCGCGGCGAGGCGGGGGCGAGGGCTTGCAAGTGAAAGGGCAGGTTGTGTTTGATGGGCGCCGACGATTGGACGGGCTCCACTTCAAGAGCCGCACAAATGTTGGTCAAGGCGCTAGAGCCAAACGGCAACGACTCTGGGTGGTGTGCCTGCCAGCGCTGGTATTCAGTGCGTAGGTCGAATGTACGGGAGTGTTGAAGGTATGGGGGAAGAACAACGGCCTTGTCCCTAGCCTCGCGCGGCAGCTGTACGCGGAGGTCCCACGAGTCAAGAGTGACGAAAGCAAACTCGAGGTTCTTGGGGGCAATGTGCTCGGCGTGGAAGTTGTTGAAGCGCTCGATGGCATCGCGGAAGGAGCCAGCGTTGCGGACCTGGTCCCAGGTGAGGGTTGTCAAGCTAGCTGTGCAAGCAAGGATGCAGGGTTAGCCGAAGCTCGTCGAGGTGAAGAAGGGGGTGGGGAGTGAGGGAGGCAGGTAGGCAGGCGAGAAGGAGCAAGACAACAAACGTACTGCAAAGAGCCGTAATTGGAGTGTTGACGGGCTTGACGAGGACGGACTCGCGGTGTAGCTGGGATTGGATCAGCAATTGAGGTGTGGGATTGGGATGGGCAAGCCCACCTCTTCGCATGACTTTGCATCGAGGAGAATCCAGCCGAGCTCAATGACCTCTGCTGAATCCTTTGTCACGTAGACGCCGTGCTCGTCACAGGTGGTAGCTACGTGAATGACGACGTAGCGGTCGAGATTGGCCGCCTGGGGGCTCGGAGTCGGCTGGGACGCCATAGCTTTGTGTGTTTGTCTGCGGTAGGTGCACTGTCAGTACGGGTGCCTCTGGGGTGGTCCAGAGGTCAGGCGAGACTGCGGCGAGGGTGGATTGGGCAATTGAGGATTTGCAGCGAGGAAGTCGGAGGTAAGAGGCGGCGTCGGTGGAGGTCGTTTGTAGCGGGTACGTCAGCGGGGAGGTGAAGACGGATGAGGTGAGGCGGGGACAGGTGACTTGCTGCTCAGTGCAAGTGAAGGGGAGAACAGAGCAGAGCCTCGAGGTGAATGATGGAGCGAGGGTAGAGGTGACCCGGTGAGATGAAACCAGGTGCTCTGTGATGGGGACGGACGACCTGAGGCTCCGTGCAATGATGCCGGAAGATTTCTTGACGTGGATAGCAGAGCTAAGGCACAACGTCGAGATCTTGGCGGGAGCTCGAGTTTAGTGTCGGACGTGTCACTGGGAGCGCATTGGGGGATATGGGCTTTTTTTCCCTGATGCTGTTTTGTTTTTTGCGGGTTGCACGGCTTTCTCGCGTGTTGCTGTGTGCCTGTATGGTCCCTGGACGGGTGCTGGCGGTGTTCCGACGTCGCAATTGGCAGCAATAGGCTCGAGAGCGTCGTCTCGCGCCCTGGGATAGTAGCATGTACACGGGCGTGTGTGTGTATTGTATATACATAGTTCATGGCTGCATGGCTGCACGCATCCATACATAGGACATGGCGGGATATCTGCAGCGATGTCGACGCCCAGTGCCGGTCCCACGCGTGCGGCCAAGGGGAACCGGCGCGTGCCCGTGCTAGGTGTGTATACAGTACATAGGACATGCCATGTAGTGTGTACCGTGTACATAGTAGCGTGCATGCATGTCGTCGCGTTTGAGTGCAAAGGACACGGCGCCATGGTGAGAGCTAGACAGCTGGTAGGGTACTGTGTACATGCACATACACACACATACTGCACCCGAACAGCAGGGTCCGGCCATGGCTTGGACGGACGGGGCAGCCCGCTGGCGTGTTATCTCGAGAAGCCATGCTGGACCCGTGGACCGGTGGACCAGCACAGCTGTAGGGTGGGCGAAAGGCGGCTAGGGGCCAAGGGGACAAGGGGCCAGCACATCATCCCGCCTCCCCCCCCCTGGCCGTGTGTGTGTGCGTGTGTGTGGCCTCTCCCACTCCCGCGGCGAGGGCCACGTCAGCACGTGATCCGCCTCAACCCTCGTGCTCGCCCGCCCTCGCTGCTGTTTCGGCGCAGGTGGCAGCCAATTTCGCATGCCCGCAGGCTGGCAGGCTGGCAGTTGAGTCTGGAGGCGCGCGCTCAAGACGATCAGCGTCCCTCAAGCTTTGCTGACACGGCCGACAAGCACTAGCCCTGTCAGCAGCGCCCGCTCGACGTGGTGGGCGCGACGTCTCCTAGAACAGCTGCTGTGAACCCCTTAAACGCCGCGCGCGCCCCCCTTCTGCCCGTCCAGAGATCCTCTGCAATTTATGCACTCCGCTTGTGGCATCGGGGACTTTGCATTGGCGCCTGAGCATCTACCACTACCCACACGACCAAGGCCCGTGTAGTCAATCGGGACCGCCTGCTTTACTAACCATGGCCTCTCGGCAACGCGCCTTCCTGTCTTCCCCGCAAGCTGCACCAAACGGACGCGAGTTAGTATTCACCTACCCACTTTTTGAAACAACGGACAAAGAAACCCGTCCACCCCCAAATCTGCCCTCAGCCGCTGCACTCCTCCATGCCACTGTCCTCCTCCTGACCTCTTCTCCAGTTCCTCCCGCGGCATCATGGGCTTCTTCAAGCGATTCAGGCGTCACAAAACCCCAAAGAAGAGCGAATCCCATCCTCGCAACGACCTCTACGCCCCCGCCATTCCCGAATACCATGGGCCTGACCAGTTTGTCCGCCTGCCCGACCACATCTTGCGTCGCATCTTTGAGCAAGTCTGCCCCCATTCCACTGACGAGACGCTCGACGGCAGCGAGGACAGTGGCAACGATGGCTGCATGAGCTGCGACATGCGAGACCTGGCCCACTGCGCCTTGACAAAGCGACAATGGTATGGTGTCGCCGCCGGCCTGCTGTAAGTTGTGCAATTCTGCTCCGCCTGCATGCATATTGCCGCTGACCTGCCTCCCTAGATACAACAGCATCCGCATTGATGCCGTCCACTACTGCGAGCTCGAGGAAATCTACGCCGACCAGCGCAGGCGCAAGTCGCGTAACGGAGATGAGATTGATGCCCCCACTGAGCGACTCCAGCAGCTCGGCCAGAGTGTCCGCGGCAACCAATACCTCGGCCAGCGTGTGCGCTTCATCAAGCTCCCCTATATGACGCGCGAGGCCTGCAAAGCCGACCTTGCGCGAACCGTGTCCGGCTGCCCCAACCTCGAGTACATTGACCTCCCCGACGGCTTCTACAGTGGCGACCAGTCTTGCCAGTTGCTGCGACAGGAGCTGCAGGGACGATGCCCACACATCAAGAGAATGAAGTACACCGAGGGTGGCGAACAGGCACTCGAGTCGCTCCTCCAGGGCTACTGGCAAGAGCTCATCACCATCGAGCTCAACAAGATACACATTGAGCCCAGCATCTTACGACAAGTTTTCGGCATGCTTCCCCGACTCAAGGAGCTTACAATTATTGGCGCTCCGTGGTTGAACGATTCCACTTTCCACGATGCCCCTGGAATTCCAAACTTCCCTGCCTTGGAAATTCTGAGGTTGGAAAAGTGCCACACTGTGACTGCACAAGGCTTGGCCCAGTTCCTCCACAACCCCATGTGCAGTGCCAGACTCCGAACGCTTGTACTCAAGGACTGCTCTGGCTTCCCGGTGGAATCCCTTCACATTGTTTTGCAGGCAGCGGCCAACCTTCGGACATTGGAGTACACGGCCACCGTCTCGGCATCCCTTCCCCTGGACCCCATTCCGCCACTGAACTCGTACACACTGTACAAGCTCAACTTTGAGGTCGTATCCAATGCCGCCAGCCAGGTCTACCCGCCCGCTGCATCATACTACCAGTATCTAGCCAAGTCGCTCATGTCCAACTCGCTCCCGGCTTTGCGACAGCTCTGGGTTCGTGACCCCGATTTCCCGGAAATCCTTACTCTTGCGCCACCAATACGTCCGTTCAGTGAGGCACCGCCGCCCATTTTCAACCAGCCCCTGGAGGTCTACTCCAAGGGTCTTGATGAACTTGATTGGATCTTTACATCCATCATACCTCCCGAAGGCCAAGCACGACGAGCATCCATGTCTGTGGGCCGGCCGTTGAGCAGCTACTCGGCACACAAGGGCCTTGGGCCCCAGTGGGGCGGAGATGCCCGTAAGAGCATTGTAGTACCTAATGGGTTCGGTGGGTTCCTGGCCATACCTGCTGACAATGATGGGCGGCCAAGGAGCGCTGGCCATATGGCACCTAGTGGAGGCTTCTTTGGACACGGCTACTCCAACTCGCTCGGGGGCCGAGAACCCAGCCCGCGCGCAAGCTGGATGACGCACGTTGGTCGCGAGAAGCGAGCCTCGAGGGCTGATTTGTGGCGCTAGTTTCTGTTCGTTTGGACACGCCAGCATCGCACTCTGCATCTCCACGTACTGCATCTCGCCTGCCCGTCTTTCTTATTTACCTTTCTCTCGCCTGGGTATCTGTCCATGTTCTTTTTTCATCTTCTTCTCAAACATCACCTTTGTAAGATACCAAGGAACCTTTTTCTTGTTGTGTGTTTTTATTTTTGTTCTATTTTGGTCGTTTTTGGGTTGGTGGAACATGGGCGCAACACCAGTACGAATTATGGCGACACCGGGCAGAACCAATGAGGGTCGGACGAAAATACCCCTGGTGAAGGATTGATTTTCGTTTGTTGGCCATGTGTGTGTACATAAGGAAACAAAGCAAAGCAAGAAAGAAAAATAGAGCGCTCGGTTGCGCGGGACCGGTCTCTCGCAGCTACTGAAATTACTACCGACGACTTGTGCTTTTAATATCGGGTGGCGGGTTTGTTTTGGCGAAGGGCTACAGGGCGCACAGGGCCAAGGGTTGTGTGCGTGGTAATATTGCAGTTGGTAATTCTCCGCTGGGATATGACACTACACAAGTGTTTCCTGATTTGGGCAATATAGGCTGTTATGGTGACATACTAGTACTCGGATAGGTGGGTTCATATTACACTACACACACACACATATTACACATGTACGCATAGGGTTCATGTCAATGTCACTGTCAGGCCAGGCAGCCAAGGGACAGGCGTAGCAGTGTCGTGTGCCCTGTATGGATGCATGCACAACATTGCGATCTGCAGGATCTCGTTGCATGCCGCGATGTGCTTGGGGGGCATTCATGCACACACCATGACTACTTACGTGCGTACTCGAATAGCGTGCTGTGGCTAAGGCATGGCGTCCAGGCGTCGCGTTTCAGGCGGGCGTGTGGCTGGCACTGACTGCACTGACCGCCCCACGCCGGTCAGGTGGACGAGTCGTCTAGCGCACGCGCCTGCGTACGGCCGGCCTGCCAGGTTTCAATCTAGCCACTGGCCGTTGTTGCTCTCTCAGGAGGACTACCAAGATAGAACGGGGGGTGGAGAGAATGTTTCGGCTACCTGCTTTGACCTGGTGATTGGATTCAGGTACTTTAATGTCAAAGAATTAAACGCCGCCTTAGCCGTATTCCGCCTGCTGCCACTTGTACTTGCTTCTTCACCCTGTTCACGCCTTCTCTTTCCCCTCACTCGCTGGGTGTGCTCTATGGCCGTGGTTGTGCTTTCTATGCTCTCTACCTCTCTTCGCGCAGGCACAAGGATTCCAGTCGCACAGCATTCTCCACTACACCGCCATGGCTACTGACGCAATGTCCTCGACGCAAAAGGTGTCTCGCTATAGGAGCGTAAGGCGCGCACAGGAACAGCCTCCCATGCAACCAGGCCAGTTTTCGCAGCATGACCAGCCTTCGCAGGGCATGTCGACAGTGCCTACTATGTCTGCAGTACCAGACTCTCAACCTCAGAACGATGCGCCACTCAGCAGGAGCAAGAGCCGCTACCACCGCCGACCACCCACTTCGCACGCGACCAGCCCGCAGCCCCCTCCCCGCTCCAACACCACATTTGATCCTCCACCGCCCTTGTGCCCGCAGTCGCCGCCTTATGCTTCGTCGAATGATGCAGACAGTTCCCCACAGCAGACATCGTATGCGGCCAACACCGCCCAGCGCCGCCCTCGTACCGCCAAACCCCGTGCCCAAGCGTCACCCCTTGTCTATGGCGCACCGAGAGACCACTCCCTCAGCGGTGATGATAGTGCGAGGGAAATTCTCGAAAAGGAGAAGCAGCGCCAGCGGCAGATGAAGGAAAGACATGATGCAGAGGCACGGGCAAGGAGGCAGGCACAACAGGCCGAGTCGGACAGGGCCGACAAGTTGCGTCAGGAAGCAGAGGAAGCGGCGCGGCTGCAGAAGCTGCAGCAACAGCAACGGGAGTTTGAAGAAGCAGAGGCGCTGCGTCGGCAAAGAATCGAACAAAAGGCAGAGCAGGAGCGGGGGAGACGACTACAGAAAGCCGAGCCACGAAAGACTTCGCAAAACAAGGACGAACTTCAACGTCAAGCGGCACTAGCAAGGCTCGAAGAGAGGTCTCAAAAGCCGCCAGCCTCACCCAATGCCATCTCGCCCCCGCGACAGCAGGAGGTTGGGATTGGCATGTTCAAAAGGAGAAAGGACGAGGCTCTAGGTCTGGATGCTCCGGCGCAATTGTCGGCTGCACCACAACTTAGCCTCAGCCTCAGCCATGAGGAAGAAACCATCAAACCTGGTGGAGGGGGTGCGGTCCTGGGCATTGATGCGCCAACTTCAGCCGTGAATGCTGGTGACAGGGTATGTTGGTTGCATCTCGGGCGGGATAAAGTGACTAACAACTGGGGCAGCGCGTTACGGTTGTGTGCAATAAGAAGCGCATTCAACTACCCGTCACACCGACCACAACACCTCTGGATCTGATCAAGTCTGCATCGACTGTTCTCGCTGACCCAATTGATGTTCGCACAGCAGTGATTTCTGAATACTTTACAAAAGTCAGCATCACGCGCCCGCTGCGCAATTACGAATATGTACGAGATGTCATGAACTCGTGGGATCACGACAACCAAAATGAGCTGACCATTATCGACTCGGATGTGGACGGAATCAACCAGGATGATTTGCTCGCATACAAAGTGCCCGAGGCAAGGCCCGAAGGCATGTCGTGCTTCATCCAATACTCTTCGAGACCCGGCAAGTGGAGCAAGCGCCTGCTTACCCTGCGTCCCGACGGCCAGCTAGTCATGGCGAAGAACGAAAAGACCAAGGAAAAGGATCTGGAGAACATTTGCACGCTTACAGACTACGACATCTACACGGTAACACAGCAGAAGCTGGCAAGGGTCAAGCCACCCAAGAAGATCTGCTATGCGGTCAAGAGTATGCAAAAGTCGAATATTTTTGCCGACGAGTCGCAGTATGTGCATTTCTTCTGCACCAATGACCGCAACACGGCAAGCATGTTCTATCATGCTTTGCAGTCGTGGCGGAGCTGGTATCTCAAGTACCAAAAGGGCGAGGGGTTGAAGAAGAAGTCGCCGGCCATGCGCAATGTGTCTGGCACCCAAGAGACAGGGCAGTCATCAGCGCATGCACGGGGTGAGTCTGTAGGATCACATTACCAGCTGGGGGCTTTCTCGTCGTTGTTGGATATGGACAGTTTCAACAAGAAGCTAGATGAAATTGAAGTGCATAAGCCGGGCGAGTTTCCAGATGACAAGCCCTTGTCGAAGCTTGATAGCAGAGCAATGCATACAAGGAAGAAGTCGTTGCGGGTAAAGCAACCACCTCCGGCAACGTTGATCAAGGGTGCAGTCAACAAGCCCAACCCGTCGCAGCCCACGTCTCGACAGACGTCTGGACGACGCAGCTTCGAGGGCAAGGAGGAGGAAGAAGCATTCACTTCTAGTGGGCTTCTAGGCCGAGGCTATAGCGAACGCCAGGCTGCAGCCCAGGCTCGTGAGCAGCAGCAGGCAACGGCGTTTACAGAGGGTCCATCACTGCTGAACGTGGGTCGGTTGGGTCAGGCCGACAGTAGTATCAAACGCAGCACTTCAACGCGCAGCAACCACAATAGGCGGATATCGAGCGACCTGCAAAGAAGTGCTTCGAAGCGGATACCTGGTATGCCTGAGCCGTTGATTGATCTGACGCCGCAGTATCGTCCACCACCACAGCATCTCAACAAGGGCAAAGGGTACAATCCGGGCGCAGGGGCAGGGCCGCTTGTGGAGAGCGCAACGTCGATAGAAGAAGCAATCAAGGTCCCTTCATCGACAGATTGGCGAGCGGGCCGGCCGGGAACATCGCGCGCACATGGAACATATGGTGCTGGTGGCCACGAGCGCACACGGTCGCTCAAGGGTCGTGGCGAGCCCCTGGCTGCATACACACACAACAACCATGGGGCCGCGCCTGAGGATGCCAGCAAAGCATTCACGGGCGGAGGCCTGTTGTCTCGCGCGGGTTATTCCCAAGGCCCCGACGTTATCGGCCGAGGCGTCATGGATGGCAGCAGAGCCCGAGGCCCAATGGTCAATCTCAACCTGAACAGTGAGTTTGCGCAGGGCAGCTTGCTGGGTGGCATGCCCGTTGCCGCACCAGTGATTGATCGAAGTGGCAAGTAAGGTGTTTTTGGGAAGGAGGGGGGGGGGGCAAAGATGGGTGGTTTGCAGGCGGAACCACTTCCCAAACGGCACGTGGCGTCCTTTTTTTTTCTCTCTTTCCTCTTTCCTTTGTGAGCGCGATTTTAGCCTGATATCCCTGCATAAATTTTTTTCTCTCTCTTCCTTGCGGTTTGTTTCCCAACGTTGTCAGCCCAAAGGCCTGTGTTTTTCAGGTGGCGCCGATGTTGAGGCATAGTGGGGGTGCAGGAGGGATGCCTGGTATGGCCGAGTAGATGAGGCTAGATGTGGTGAGAGTATTGAATTGATCTATATGTTTGGAGCGATACGGGTCTAGATGCAACTAGCTGGAGACCGCGGCGGGCGAGCGTGCGAGATGAGGGTATATGAGAGCTTCGGTTTGCATGGTTGGATGGTGTTGTGTGCTGACGGACTATACAGTACGCGTGTATGTATGTGCGTGTCCGACCAAGTCTCCGATGTCTCCGCCTCCGCCCAAGAACGGGCCCACTCGACTGGCTGCGGAGAGAGTGGCGTGCTGGAAACTTCAACCCCCCGTCGAGCGGGAACCCCGCAATCGCCGGCCTAATGACGAGACGGTGCAGCAGCGGACGCAGTACCGCCTCGGCATATCAACTTCACAAGCGTGGGCAGCGGCATGCGCCATGTACAATTTGCAGTTGTAACGAAAGAAGATGAAAAGACAGAGGCGCCGCCAGAACTGCGCGGCGCCCATCGAGACGGGATGGATCGGTCGATGGTCCGCTCCGCGTCTCATTTCCTCGACAAACTGTTGAGTTGTTGACTCGCGCACATTCGCCGGCCACGCTCCAGCCTTGCCCTGCTGGGCGCCAGCCGCGGGGAGGGAACATGCTAGTAGGGAGTGGGTGGGTGTGTACACAGCACGTACATGTCTATGTTTGTACATGGGTGCACATGTACTCTACTCACCTGTTCAGAGAACGGGGTGCTGTGCATGGCTTGCCAGTACCAATGCGGGCTACATGGCTACTCTAGTTTTGCTCGCGGCCAGCAAATGATATACATGGCCAGCGTCATGGTGACTGCAGGGCCAGCAACGACGTCACCCGCACCAGGCGAGCGTGTCGGCTGGGGAGCTCTGACCCGAGCATCCCAACCACCCTAAACCCTCCCCACGTCGGGGTCTCCCAACGCTCAAGCTCCCAAAACAATAAGCGGCCCGCCAACTCGAGCCCTTGTCGCCGCTGCAGGGCCTGTCTGCTGCGACCACGCCAA